CCTCCCAAGTAACTGGACTACAGACACGTGCCACACACCAAGCTTGGATCTTGAGGCTCGATCAGACTTGGTCTGATCCTTTTGGCAGCATTTTGATGATGATATAGTCTTCTCTCAGGAGGCACATAATGTCGGGATCTCTTTTTATGATTTTAGGAGGTGTTGATGTATGAATGCATATATTCATTCACAGAGATTTACAAAATAGAGATATTCTATCATTTCTCTTTACTTAATAGTGGAATACATTTAGTTAGATTCACTTCCCCTTATCTCCTATCTGGTTACTCAATTTTGGTTATTTAACTTTAACTTTTAAATTTCTTTAGAGCAGTGATCCTGCAATCATTTTCATAGCCTTTTTGGTCCTATACCTTTGGGTGGCTATATATTTTTAAATTTAAGATGAAACATTTCCATGAGACATGAAAGACACACTGAAGCCATACATAGAGCAAATGGAGTGCAGGGGATGTTCACAGGCGTGATCATAGTGTGTAGCAGCCTTAAACTCCTGGGCTCATGCAAATAAGGTTTTAATAGCAAATTCCAGCCACTAGACACTTAAAATTCTTGATTTTCTGGTTGATTATGTATTCAAGGTACAGACTTTGTTTCCTGCTGATCATTAGCCTTTATAATTTTCATGAAGAAATTTTTAACAAAAGTGAACTGATGGAACTTAAGTAAAAAGATTCTTGTGAATTTGTTTTGGGTTAACATGCAGGGTCTCCCTCTTCCCTGAAAGTTAGAAATTAAACAATGATTTACGTCTATATTTGAGCACAATTTTGGACTTCCAAATGAAGGTGATTATTCTTTCAAAAAGTCTCATTTGATATGTCTGCAGTGATATAGAGATCATATAGCCTAAAGCATTTAGTTGAAAAAAATTAGCAAATTTAATTATTTTGAAAGAGTTAAAAAAAACCTTGAAATTTGAGGGTTTTTTGTATTTACTATATATGATGTAGTAGGTAGAAAGCATAATTATATTTTATATTATAATTAATAATAGATATTATTAAAAAAATATTTTCATTCTTAAAAATACAGTTAACCCTAAATTAGTTGTCTGGTGTTAACAGCTGAAGGCATTTAAGAGTCTCATTACCATCTGAGCTAGCCAGATGACAGGCAGCAGCTGAAGGCATTTAAAGTGCCTCCTGGGCCTGGCACGGTGGCTCACGCCTGTAATCCTAGCACTCTGGGAGGCCGTGGCGGGTGGATTGCTCAAGGTCAGGAGTTCGAAACCACCCTGAGCAAGAACGAGACCTCGTCTCTACTATAAATAAAAAAGAAATTAATTGGCCAACTAATATACATAGAAAAAATTAGCCGGGCATGGTGGCGCATGCCTATAGTCCCAGCTACTCGGGAGGCTGAGGCAGGAGGATCACTTGAGCCCAGCTGAGGCAGGAAGATCACTTGAGCCCAGGAGTTTGAGGTTGCTGTGAGCTACGCTGAGGCCATGGCACTCACTCTAGCCTGGGCAACAAAGTGAGACTCTGTCTCAAAAAAAAAAAAAGTGCCTCCTGGAAGTGCTGAGGGATTCACCCAGAAGCAGTTAGATGGAATTGTCACATGCTCAGTGGATGGCGAGCAAGAACTTCGGGGTAAAATAATCTGGGTTCTGAATCCAGAAGCACCACTTAGTAGTCTAATGATTTAGATACTTACTTTTTTTTTTTTTTTTTTTTGGAGAATCAGCTTTTTATTACGCCGGCAGTCTCAGAGGGGTTCACCATCGGGCTCAGAGGGACATATCACCAAACTCTGAGCCTGTTTTTTAAATTTTTTATTTATTTATTTTTTTCCATTTTGCAGATGAAGACACTTGTTTATGTGTTGTCTTCCTCATTTGTAAATCTGAATAATAAAATCTGTCTGCCATGTTTTTTGAGAAGTTTAAATGATGTAAAATGCTGGGGTGAGTGCTTTGTAATATTTACTGGTGGTAGATACTATTAAGTTAAGGAGACTTAAATAACTCAGTTAATCAGGTGAACTATATTGCCCTTTACATTGGCTATTACAAAACTGAAAACTTCAGGCCTGTCAGTTTGACATTGGAAAGGGTTTTGACCCAGCATGGTGGCTCATTCCTATAATCCTAGCACTTTGGGAGGCTGTGATGGGAGGATTTGGCGACCAGCCTGAGCTAGAACCCATCTCTACAAAAAACCAAAAACATTAGCCTGGCAAGGTAGAGTGGGCCTGTAAATCCCACCTACTCAGGAGGCTGAGGCAGGAGGATCGCTTAAGCGCAGGAGTTTGAGGTTGCAGTGAGTTAATGATCACACTATCGTACTCTAGCATGGGTGACAAAGCAAGACCCTGTCTAAAAAAAAAAGAACAAAACAGAAAGAAAAGGTTTCAGCTTGATATATAAATACATCTCAGAGCTCAGAGATTCAGGGCTTTGAGTGAGATACATACATTAAATTTGAAGTACAATGATAAAAATCAGCAAACACCTGTGCTTTTTGTGAATAGGTATTTCCTCATATTCCATCTCCTTGATGTCTAAAGTATCAGGTCTGATATGCTGTTCATTAAATTAAATTTAAGCCAAAAATAGAAATAGAACCATTTAGTCTTAACTATTAATTAAAAGACATCATTTATTCTAAATGATGAGTAATGGGCGTTAATTATATTTTATTGTATGGGAGTTTGTTTCGTTTTGTTTTGAAGAGACAGGGTCTCACTCTGTTGCCCAAGCTGGAGTGCAGTGGCCTGATCCCAGTTCACTGCAGCCTTTATCTCCAGGGCCTCCAGGGAAGCTGGGACTACAGTAGGTATGTGCCACCACACTAATTTTTCTATTTTTTTTTTTTTTTTATCGACTGGGCATTGTTATGTTGCTCAGGTTGGTCAGACCTCCCTGGCCTTAAGTTGTTACAGCAAGTGTTACAGCGGGTGGTCCCGTGGATTAACAGAGAAAGAGACTGAGAATCAAAGTTTATCAGCCAGCGGGCTCAGAGGAGTCTGGCCACCAAATTCTGAGCCCTGTCCACCCAATTTTTCCCACTTTTATTAAGTTGGGGTGATCTAAGGGGTGGGATATCAGGTGACAAATGCCCGACAGGTAATAGGTTAGTTGATGTATCAGGTAATAGGTTTGTATTATGTTGATGCACCAGGTAATCGGTTTAGTGTTATGCTGATGCACCAGGTAATAGATTAGCTGACGGGCCAGGTAATAGGTTAATACTATGCTGATGCAGATCTTCTGTGAAGGGTGGGGGTCTCAGGTGCCTGATGCACCAAGTAATGGATGGGGGTTTTCCTTATCAAAGTGACCCTTCTGCTTCAGCCTTCCAAAGTGCTAGGATTAATGCATGGTTTTTAATCTCCAAAACAAAAGTAATTTAAGAAAAGAAAAAAAGACAGTAGTTAGCCTGATTCTCCAAACTTTGGGGCAGATTTTTGTGTATCACAAATCTACAGGGAGAAATCTTTCCAGAAAGGAAGAATTTGTTTCAAGAATCCTCTTGCAGGAATATCAAACTTTTTTTTTTTTTCTTTACTAGAAGGCTATATATAACATTATACTTTATCAAAATGGAAATAAAGTCATTAGTTTGAACTATCCTCTGTGGTACTTTGGTTGTAAAGCTTGGATCCTATAGCCTTATTCAAATTGGTTTATCCCTATGTGTTCACCAAATCTTTTTCATATCCCAGGCACACAGTGAGTTATAACCTCACAGCCTTCTTCCTGTCAGCCAGGTTGAGCCATATGTCTAGTTCAGGCCAATGAAACGTCAGCAGAAGTGAAAAGACCACTTCTGGCAGAGGCAAATCCTTGCAGGATTCTCCAGTCTAGCTCTTCTGCCATCCCTGTTGTGCTGGAATGGAGTGCCAAGGATGGAGGCAGCTGGGCATGCTGAGTCACCACACGGAGGCGAGCTGCTCAGGACAGTCAGCTGACTTACAGGTGACGAGTGCAGCTTCTTCACCTAGCCCATCCTTACTGAGATAAACACAATACTGCCCTGCATACTTCATGATCATAAGTGAGGTTAGAGTAGAAATGGGAAATGGCCCTCAATTATAATAAAAAATTAATACCTTCAGTTTTGAAAATTAAAATTGTCGACCGTGGTAAAGCAATTTTGCTATACAAGTATCTGTAAATTATTTGAAACGTATTAGAACAAGTCAAAGTATTTCTCACATTCCTTCCATGTCAATACCAGTCCTAATTCTTAGCCCCAAATTAGTTTTTAGAGGCTCCCTTCTAAGGAAAACAACCCTTAAGTTTAAATCTCGATTTTAAAAATCATGCTTTTAGTTTACATGGCTTTCAACAATTTAAAAATAGCACAGCTTGCGTAATCAGAATAAATATTTAATTAACGTAATTTTTGAAAGTACAAAAGCCACTAGAAACCATAACAGTAAGAACTGATGCTATTTTTCTTTGTGTGTGTGTGTGTGTGTGTGGAAATATTTTACATAGCCAGTTTTCCAATAATTTGCTTCTGGTTGATTTAAAATTTGTAATTCAACTTTGCTGTAAGAGCTAGTTTCATGAATCAAAGTTTGACGAAAATGTGAGGCTTTTTCCTTTCTTTTGGCCAAAAAGCATATCCAGGATAGGCGCTTTCAAGCAAAATGCGTTTAAGGAGCTCCAGGATTCTTACAGACAGTGCCCCGAATGTACGGGTGGACCGGGCTCCACGTTTTTCTGTAAGCATTCGCTGTCCTGGGGCTGCAGGAGCTCACTTTACAATTCAGAAAACAACTAACTTTTCCGTCTTAGACCTTTAATAATTGAGAGAGGGTATCCGCGGCTCGGAACCCGAGTGGACCCCGGCAGAGCGCGTCCTCCCGTGCCGGCGCGGACGGGCAGGGAGTGGGGCGCCCCCCTCCGCCCCCCACGGGTCGGCCCCGGGCGGGAGCCCCCCGCGCCTTCCCGGCGTGCCCCGCGCGGAGGGGACTCTTAACTTGAAGCGCCGGGTGACTCAGCCGCGTGGCCGCGCCGGCCAGGGCGGGGGGGCGCGCGCCGCTGCGGCAAGGCCGGTCCCCGCGGCGGCTGGTGGCGGCGCGGCCTGCGCGCGCCTTCCCGGCGGATCCGGCGCGGAGCGCTGGAGCGCTGTAGGCTGCGGCGAGTAAGCGGAGGCGCGGGTTCAGGCGCGAAGCCCCGGGAGGGCGAGCGCGGCGGCGGGCGTGGCCCGAGTCCCGCCTTTGTGATCAAGTGGTGTCTCCTCGGGGCGCCCGCGGCGGCCCGGACCCCCGGATCGAAAGGCCGCGGGAGCGAACTCGGCGCCAGGAGAACGCCGGCAGATGGGCGACCGGCGCCTGCCTTCGTGCTGAGGGTGAAGTCTGGCCGTCGGGGAAGGGAGGTCACACGCTGCCGAGACTGTAAACACAGTCCCGGGGACGGCTGAAGTCTAACTTGACTGCTGTCCGCAGGCCTCCGGCGGCTCGTGCCATCCGCCCGGAGACCCGGGACGAGCCGGGGAGTGTCCTCTGCAAAACGCGGCCGGGCGCGTTGGTTCTGGCGACTGACTGCATCCGGTACGCCGGGTGGTCGTGGCACTTCCTCCTCACCTCGGAGCACAGAGCGCCTCTTGCTCGGTCTTTTCATCCTTGCTCCGGAGACTTCCCCGCCGCCCACAAGTTACCGCCTCTCCTCGGCGGCTCTGAGTGCCACAGAGATCCTTAACCGGTAATTCGCTTTTAAATAAAATCCTTACTTTCTGTAGCAGTGTCTACAGGTTTACGAGGCCAATTCTGACTATCAGAAAACTTGTATTTTGGAGTTTGTGATTCTTTCAGAAAATTCCTAGGTTGAATTGATTTATTTAAAAATGAGAATCCAGTGAAAAAGCTGACGTGATAAGCAAAGCTGTGAAGGAACTGTTTAACCAGTTTATGAAAATATATTTCCAAGTCCCTTTTTTTTTTGAGACAGGGCAAGACTCCGATAGAGTACCGATAGAGTACCTAGAGTGCCGTGGCGCCATCACAGCTCACTGCAGCCTCAAACTCCTGGGCTCAAGCGATTCACCTGCCTGGGCCTCCTGAGTAGCTGGGACTACAGGCGCGGGCCACCGTGCCTGCTTATTTTTTCTATTTTTAGTAAGATGGGCTCTTGCTCTTGCTCTTGCTCAGGCTGATGTCCAACTCTTGAGCTCAAGCCATCCTCCAGCCTGGGCCTCCTAGAGTGCTAGGATTACAGGCGTGAGCCACTCCTGTTTGCTATTAAACCACTATCTGTGCAACTGTTACCTGAGAAATTGAGGTGGTTTTTTAGTGGTCCCCAAAACAGAGTGTTGTAGTGATATCACTCGATGTGACAAATCCAGAGTCAGAGAAAGGACTTCACCCTCAACTCCCCTATCCCCTAAAAAATTCTGTGGGCCAGAGTTCTAGAACATAAGGTTGCTCCTTAATAATAAAGTTGCAGTAACCTAGCACCACTTCCAGAAATTTGATTCTAAAGATCTGTGATGGGTCCCTGAGTGCACATTTAAGCAAGCACCCCCTCCCTTGGTCTATTACTGGTGATCCAGGGACCATACTTTGAGAAACACCACCATTGGGCTGGGCTAGGATTTTGGGGGGCTTTTTTTTTTTTAAATAGATTTAGGGAGTACAAATGTTTTTTGTTACATGGATGAATTATATAGTGGTGGAATTGTACAGTGGAAGTCAGGGCTTTTAGTATACCAGTCACCAGAATGGTGTACATTGTACCCAATAAGTCATTTTTACTGGAAATTTTTAAAATTACCCAATTCCCTTATCCCTTTGATGACTTATTCATCCTCTGCCTCCAACCAGTCATATAGGCCAAGAAACCCTGACTCTCTTGAAGACAATGTGAGGAAAGATAGTGCTTTCTTGGAATCTGACACCAGGGTAGGACATGACTTTCATACATATTGTGATATTGCCATTGCTGTGGTGGTTTAGAGTTAGCCTAGGCCTGATTAATCTGTCCTTTTTCCTTCTGAGGGCTGCTTCCAGTATCACCAGAGCTTAAGCAATGCCCAGGCTCCCCCCTCCCAGCTCACTCCCCCATAGACCCAAGGTAGCCAGTTCCCATGGCCTTGAGCTCTCAAATTGTCTGAGATATAACAGTACCAGTATTTATAAGGGCTTTCAGTTCAGCTGGACATTAATTCAGTCACCAAATATCTGAGTAATGTCTATTTTGTGCAAAGCACTGTAGTAGGCCATTTTATCAACAACATTGCAAATATGGCATAGAGTTGCATTGCTTCTTTGAGGCAGAAATGAGGGCTGAATAACCTCTACTGCTGCCAAAAGCTTTTTCTATTTCTTTTTATTCAAGGGGGGAAATGCAGGGGGGGTTCTATTTCTTATTCCTCCTTCAAATAGATGTGTAGAAATGAGATTAGAGTTATGCCATGTGTTTCTTTTTTCCTGTCTTGGTATCTTTTTGGTGTTTCATTTCTCTTATTAATGGATATTTTTCTGTTGATTCACAAGATGTCATGTCTTTCCTTCTGTAGCCCTGGGCTTCCTGATTATTGTGTCTTCCTCTAACCCCTAATCTGACCTTGCCCTTCCTTGGCTAAGTGGAGTAAAAAATTGAGGGGAATTGTTGGAAAACAGTGATTTCTAGTTGGAAGACCCAGAGTTATGGAAATATGAGGCTTAGAGATATAAGGGAAATTATTTCAAACTTATTGAGTGCAATCCTCTCATCTTTCAGATAATCTTAGAGCTGAGGTGACAATGAGGATTCCTGGCTCCTAGCCCAATGCTCTTCCCACTAAATCATATCAAGAAAAATGCTTCAAAAATGGAAAAGGTCCAGAGAAATTATGAGTAGATGAAGAAGATGGAGAGACTTTCATATGACTACAAAAGCAATTTTATCTTATCTGGAAAGATGGAGATTGAAACAGAATATGATGCAACCATATAAATCATGAAGAGTAGGAATACTAATATAAGGAACGCTTTTAGATTTGAAATAAGTGAAAGGACAAATAAGAGTGAGCAGATAGCTATCTTATAAAACCCAAGAGATGTTATGAACACAGTATTTTAAAAAAGATTCCGTAAAGGTTTAGGTAAATACTTAAGTGATTTGTTATTAGATGTTAGATGCTTGAGCAATATCCAGAATCTTTTGAAGTTGTCATCATAAGTATACTGATGCCTTACCAGAGTTATTAGATATTTCTAGGTATCTCTGTGGTAGAATTTAAGACTGATCTATCTAACTACTAACCTCATTTATTTCTTAGTTGTGGGAAGTTAGATTGTTGGCATACTACATGTATTTCTGGAATAGTAGGAAGGAAAGAAGTATGGATGAAAGAAGAAGGCCATTTGATCTTTTAGCTTGGAGTCTCCAATTTTAGACAGTGTTGGATTGTTCTTGTATATTTATAAAAGTAGTAGAAATAAAAATAGTAATAGGGCTTACCAAGTATACATTATGTACCAGACACTGTACTAAATGGTTTTATATCATTGTCTCATCTAATTATCTCCATTTTATAGATGAAGAATCTAAGACACAGAGATTGAGTGCCCAAAATCATAGTAAGTGGCTAAGCCTGTGTTCAAATTTAAGTCCACCTGACTTCAATGCCATTAATATATATGCTTGATAGTGTCCTAGTTATACTTCATTGGGTAGTAGTTAAGAATGTGGGCTCTGTAGTCAGTGTTGCCTGAGTTCAAATCCTGCCTCCTCCAGTTACTAGCTTGTATAAGGTACTCATTACCTTCTATGTCTATGAAATAGTACCTAGCTCAAAAGACTTTTAGGATTGAGTTAATTCACATAAAGTGCTTAGAACCATGCCAAAATACCCATTTTATTTAAATTTAGATTGGTCTTTCCACTATTTGAAATTCTAAGGTTTTATGGTAAAGATAGATATAAAGTAGACTTTGTCTCTGTGCTTACCAAGGCAGGGGAGCCTTATTAAAATTTTGGAAAACTTTGGGATGTAGTATAAAGAACTATGACCCAGGCCAGAGGATTTGCTTCTAGTTGTCTCTGTTACTGCCTAGCTCGGAGATCCTAGGCTCAAAACTTCTGTTTCACATAGAAGGTTGTAAGGATCAGACAAAGTAATAAATATGAATGAAATTTGAATTTCATATATGAATATAAATTAGTGTTATTAAAATTATGGAGGAAAGTTACAATGAATTGTTGTTGGCTTTTTTTTTTTTTTTTGTATGTTTGGTTTTTGGGGTTTTTTTGAGACAAGGTCTCACACTGTTGCCCAGGCTAGAGTGCAGTGGCATCATCATAGTTCACAGCAGCCTTGAACTCCTGGTGTATAATCCTACCACTTTGGGAGGCTGAGGTGGGAGGATTGCTTGAGGCCAGGAGTTAGAGGTTGCAGTGAGCTATGGCGACACACTGCACTGTAGTCTGGGAGACAGAGCAAGACTCTGTCGCAATTAAAAAAAAAAAAGTCAAGTGCTTTAGGACTCAGATAATACTGTGTGTTACATTATCTACATGTCCCCATTTTTTCCAAGAATGCATGAAAACTTACACTGATTATCATTGGTCCTTGAACTAGATGACCTTTTTTACACCATCTTCTGACAGAGTGATTTTGAATTGTCTCCAGAATTTTCTACATGTTCTCTTGCTCTAGTACTGATTGTTCAAGCCTTCAGCTCTTTTATTGCCGTACGAACACTTAGCTCTTTTCTATAAAATAGCCTAATGCACTTTTTATTTTTTTAATTGTACTGCCTTTAAAAATGTTATTGTTAATAGAATCTTCCTTGGATTTACTAGAAGTTTGTCACTGAATTATCCTTAAAAGCCTGCATATCTCTTCTTTAGGAGTTTCAGTTAATAGCAAACAGAAGAGTATCCTGGATTTTGGAGACCTCATCCTGGAGATTCTACCATATGTTGACATGTCTTTTCTTAAGAGTCATGAGCTTTGCTTGGCCTATTGTGTGCTTTGGATTGTTCCTTGCTAAAGGTATCATTAGAATGACCTTAACTAATTAAATCTAATCAAAAGATGTAGCACTTTATGTGGAAATTATAAAATTTTATCCAATTTTTAGGTAATAAAGTTGAAAGAAGTTATAGCAGAATTAGGTAAAATCTTAATTTGAACTCAGATTATAAAACCAACCCCCATCTGGAGGTAACTGATTTAGAGGTCCTTTTGTAGCAATTATTTAAACAGAAAAGGTGGTAGGTATGTTCATTATGAGCACAGAAAGGTGTGAATCAGACCTATAAGAAGAGAGCATAGCATGATGGTAAACAGCATAAACTATGATGCCGGAAGCCTGGCTCCACTACTGGTTAGCTGTGTGACTGTGGGAACTTTTTCTCAACGTCCTCTTTCCTCAGTTCCTTATCTGTAAAATGGGGGTAATGGCACCTACTTTATAAAGTTTTTTGAGTATTAAATATTTATAAAGTATTTAAACAATATATAAAATGTGTGTTAAATCAATAAAGTTGAAGTCCATCTGGACTTAGAATGTGATGTTTTTGGTAATTTGACATTAAAGAATCTCAGCAGATTAATTTGTTCTCATTTAAAATATGTTCTTGAGTAACTGGTTTAGATTTGATTTACTTTAAGGATGAAAACAATTGCTATGTTTGAAAAGAATGTTGTAACATTTAGGAACTTTTTATATATACTATTTCTTTTTTTTTTTTTTGAGACAGAGTCTTCACTCTTGCCTGGGCTAAAGTGCGTGGCATCAGCTAGCTCACACAATCCTCAAAACTCCTTGTGCTCAAGCAATAACTCCTTGCCTCAGCCCCTCCAAGGTAGCATGGACCTACAGGCATGGTACCCAAACCTGCCTGGCTAATTTATATATATATATATATATTTTTTATTGTCTAGCTAATTCTTTCTTTCTTTTTTTTTTTTTTGGAGACCAGAGTTCCACTTTGTTTTGCCCCAGGCTAGAATGAGTGCCGTGGCGTCAGCCTAGCTCTCAACAGCAAAACCTCAAACTCCTGGCTCAAGGCCGATCTCCTGCCTCAGCCTCCGAGTAGCCTGGGACTACAGGCAATGCCCGCCACCATGCCCCGGCTAATTTTTATATATATATCAGTTGGCCAACTTCCAACTTTTCTTTCATTTATAGTAAGGACGGGGTCTCGCTCAAGGCTGGTTTTTGAACTCCTGACCTTGAGAATCCACCCGCTCGGCTCCCAAGAAGCTAGGATTACAGGGCCGTGAGCCACAGCACCCGGCCGCTAATTTCTTTCTATTTTTTTAGTAGAGACGGAGTCTCACTTGTGCTCAGGCTGGTCTCCAACTCCTGAGCTTAAATGATCCACCTGTCTCGGCCTCCCAGTGTGCTAGGTTCCAGTGTGCTAGGTTACAGGTGTGAGCCACCGCACCTGGCCTGATGAATCGTTTTTACTTCTGGAATTTTCTATTTAATATTTTTGGACCACAGGAAACCTTGGATAAGGAGGGACAACTGCATCTATCTATATATATAGAGAGAGTGTGTGTGCAGGATGTGAAGCAGGATGATCATTGATGAATCTGAGTAATGGGTATAAAAGTACCAATTATAATGTTTCAATTTTCATATAGATTTGAAAAGTTTCAACATAAAAAGTTGGGGAGAAAATATTACCTATACTTTATAGCCCAGCTCAGATTTTTCTTTTATGAAGACTTCCTTTTCCCAACCACAGTAGCTAGGGGTGATTTTCTAATAAGAATTTTTAAAATTCTATGTTAATGATCCCCAACCAAACCTGAATGCAGACGAGAACTGCCTTAGAAGTTGTTTTCTCTTTTTTTATTATTTATTTATTTATTTATTTATTTATTTTGAGACAGAGTCTTGCTTGTTGCCCAGGCTAGAGTGAGTGCCGTGGCGTCAGCCTAGCTCACAGCAACCTCAAACTCCTGGGCTCAAGCGATCCTGCTGCCTCAGCCTCCCGAGTAGCTGGACTACAGCATGTGCCACCATGCCTGGCTAATTTTAAATATATAATTATAAGTTGGCAACTTAAATTCTTTCTATTTATAGTAGAGACGGGGTCTTGCTCTTGCTCAAGCTGGTTTCGAACTCCTGACCTTGAGCAATCCGCCCGCCTCAGCCTCCCAGAGTGCTAGGATTACAGGCGTGAGCCACCGCGCCCGGCTTTTTCTCTTTTTTAAATTACAAATTCCTAGACCACAGTGTAAGCCTATGGAGACAGACTCTCAGGGGATAGGCTTAAGAATCTGGACTCACTGGTCTGTATGTACTACCTATTCTGTATTTACTAAAGTTAACTTACATCTTTTCCATATATCCCCACTTAACTAGCTTGGGAACTGAGGGCCAGCCCTTGAACGTGTTGCTCAATCCAGTGTGTCAGTGCTGGCACCATGCCTTCCACCCAATAGACATTTGGTAAATATATATTGAGTATATATGTTGATAACCTGAAGAGATTACCAGAAGTTTCTCTATAGCTGTGAGATATTAAAAAAGAAACCAAGCTGATATAAGTGCTTAGACAATACAGAAGATCCAGTTGCATGATTGGAAAGCTTTGTAGTGTTTTAAAACTATAGGTTTGACTTACAGAAATAACATGGTCATTATCAGTATTTACTTGGGATTGTGTTAACAATGGTATCATAATTGAGTTTTATTATCTCTGCCAGAACCTGCTTTGCTTTCATCTGGTGGGTGATCTTGTCATCATGTCTTATTATCTCAGAAGTCTAGGGAGATGTGAGCAAGTCATGGGAAGCATCCAGTGATTCGAGTGAAGCCTGACCAACTTGATAGGAATAAATCACTGCTCTCACCTGGTACCCACCCAGCATGGGTTTTAACCCTAGCACCCAAAATTTTTAAGGTTCTCAAAGGTGAAATTTTAGAGTATTATTGAGAATGAATGACTTTTGAAATGACCACATTAAAATGAGCTATCTTATTTATCAGATAAAGATGAGAAAGACTGAAACAGTGAATGTTAACATTCCATGCTGTTGGAAGGGTAAATTGATGTTTATAGAGGTCAGTCTGGCAATATATATCAAACCTTTAAAATTACCCTTTTCTACAGCAGTTTTACCTCTAGGATTTTATTCCAAGGAAATAATGGGGTAAATGCCCAAAGATACATGTACAAAGATTTCCCCACAACATCGTTAATTTTTCAAGTATTTATATTTTTCTGTATTGACTGAATTTTTTTAGTGAGCACATACTAATTTTATGAGCAATGAAACACCAATAATGTTTCAGTCACTGGATTTCTGCATTACTTCCCTAACTCCTAATTGATAAGAACTTCAGCAGCAGTGACCCTGGAAAATACTGGTTTTCTCTTTATTTCAGACAAACAATAGAGGGAAGAATAACTTCTAGAATCAGTAATGTATGAAAGACAAGATGGTTTTGGGAAACAGTGTGATGGGATGGAAAGAGTATGAAAATCCAAGGACCCAGGTTTGGAATCTATCTCTGCCTCTTAGCTTGAGTTATAATTGGGGAAAGGGCCTAACCTCTCTGAGACTTGATTTTCCCCCCCAACAGTAAAGTGAGGATAATTAAAGTATCTCTCTTGGGGTTCTTTCAGGATTGAATAAGATTAGGCATATAAAAGCTCTTTGTAGACTCAGAGTGTTAGTGTGGGGTGGGAAAAATAACAATCAACATTTATTGAGTGCTTTCGGTATGCCAGGCATTGTATTAAGCACTTTAAATGTGTTAACCTCCTTTAATCCTTACAGCTTGTGTGGTTAATGGTTATTTTCCTCTCTTACAAGTAAGGAAGTTGAGACAGAAAGACTGAGGAACTGTCCAGGGGGCCACCATTATAAAAGGTAGAGTCATAATGGAAGATCATAATTTTGGAGAAAAGCAGCAAGCGATCTCTAAGATGTATCCATGCACGTCTTACCAGTCTGCCAGTGTTCTTTGAGAGAAACAGCAAGTAGGTGGAAAGGAGAAGTACCCTGTGGAAATACTAACAAGCGTCTATTTCTTTGCTAATATAAGCGGCTTAAGTTTGGGGTTTGGGGAACATATTGTAGGAAAACTCTGAGATTTAGATATGTTAAGAATAGAGTTTTTTGGCAGGGCGTGGTGGCCCACGCCTGTGATCCTAGCACTCTGGAAGGCCGAGGCAGAAGGATCTTGGGAGGATCGCTTGAGCTCTGGAGTTAGAGACCAGCCTCAGCAAGAGCAAGACCCATCTCTACTAAAAATAGAAAAAATTAGCCAGTCAACTAAAAATGAAACAAAAAGGCCGGGCGCTGTGGCTCACGCCTGTAATCCTAGCTCTTGGGAGGCCGAGGCGGGCGGATTGCTCAAGGTCAGGAGTTCAAAACCAGCCTGAGCAAGAGCGAGACCCCGTCTCTACTATAAATAGAAAGAAATTAATTGGCCAACTGAGGTATATTATATATATATATAAAAAAAAAAAACTAGGCGCATGGTGGCGCATGCCTGTAGTCCCAGCTACTCGGGGAGCTGAGGCAGAAGGATCACTCGAGCCCAGGAGTTTGAGGTTGCTGTGAGCTAGGCTGACGCCACGGCACTCACTCTAGCCTGGACAACAAAAGTGAGACTCTGTCTCAAAAAAAAAAACAAAAAAACAAACAAAAAAACACACAAAAAAACAAAAAAAAATGAAACAAAAAATTAGCCGGGCGTGGTGGCTCGCACCTGTAGTCCCAGCCTGGGAGGCTGAGGCAGGAGAATCACTGAGCCCAGGAGTTTGAGGTTGCTGTGAGCTAGGCTGATGCCATGCGCACTCACCCTAGCCTGGGCAACAAAGTGAGACTCTGCTTAAAAAAAAAATAGATAATACTGGAGTGTTTTTACTTAACATTTTTAGAAATAATCTGGAAAAAGGAAAATCAGAAAGCGTTAATAGTCAGAAGGACAGAGTTCTTTCTGAGATTGGAACATTGGGGCACAATGCAAAGGGGAATGATTAGGCACCATGATAAAAAAGCTTCAGTGGATTTGGTTTTAAGGAAAATATACCTTAAAATAATATACCCTTCAAATACACATTTTGAAGATGGTGACCTCTTATTATTTGTTAATAATAGTCCTGAAGGAGATCTTATAGACCTATTAGATTGTGCCTGTCCATTTCTCCTTAACCCACTTTTATCCCTTTTAACTAACTTCTATTCCCAGAAATCCTGGGTATCACCAGAAGCATATGTTGAAGCAAAAAGGAGACCTGTTTAATAGAAAGCATTAGCAGAGTTCTCATTATTATGCATAAAGGAAAAATGATAATGAACTAGCTTAAGGCAATGATTAAAATAGTTAAATTCTTATAATTAAATAATTTAAATTAGTCATTTTCATGTAAAGAGACTGAAAGGGCTAGGGTTTTTCAGTTTGGAATGAAGGGTTGGCAAAGATGTAATTACTTTTTAAATTTGGTTACAGAGTGGTGAGTTAAGGGTAGTTCAGTTTATTACGCAGAATTCAGTGGCATCCGTTTCATCATCACACCCACTTAGAGTGGGTACATAGTCTTAAGTACAGAAAGGGGAATGCTGCCGTTTTAAAAGATCATGGCCAGTCTGAAAGCATTATGCTTTTCAGATACATCTGTGTTAAGTTTGATTGCACCCACCCTCACTCCAACTACGTTTTTTAAAACATGAATAGTTCAATGGTAGAATATTAACTTAATGGAACAATGATCCTGGTAAATATCTTGTTTTTTCAGAAATAATTTATATGGGGAAATTGCAAATGAGAAAATACATAGATTTATTATCTAGAGGTTATTTTGGATTCATACTCAAGATGATTACGTTCAAGGAGAAACCAGGGTGTTCTTTTTTAGGTGCAGGAGTATATGGAGATAATTCTATCAAAGATTTTATGTGAAATTTTCCAAGATGAGATTATGATGCTAATAAACTATTTTGGCTATTCTGGGTCAGCAAAATTAAGACTTAACAAAAATGGGCTAGAATGTGGTGGCTCACGCCTGTAATCCTAGCACTCTGGGAGGCCAACTCGGGAGGATTGCTCGAGGTCAGGAGTTTGAAACCAGTCTGAGCAAGAGCAAGACCCCCTCTCTACTATAAATAGAAATTAATTGGCCAACTAATATATATAGAAAAAATTAGCCGGGCATGGTGGTGGCATGCCTGTAGTCCCAGCACTCAGGGAGGCTGAGGCAGGAGGATTGCTTGGAGCCAGGAGTTTGAGGTGGCTGTGAGCTAGGCTTGACGCTACGGCACTCCACTCTAGCCTGGGCAACAAAGAAGACTGTCTCAAAGAAAAGACTTAACAAAAATGGCCTTCATGGAGGCTTGTGAAATAAATAATAAAAATATATACTTTGCATAGCTTTTTGGTGTAAAATACTTTTGCTTAATTTATGGAAGTGAAGCTTGAGCTGGCTGGCTGGATGTTAAGTTTTTGGTGCTCCACAGCTGTACAGTGTGAGTTCCAGTATATATATATTTTTTAATTCCTGGTTCTTTTCTGCAGTAGTCTTTTCTGTTATTGGTTAGGAGGTGCCAGGGGGGTGTGGTGAACCTTGGTTCTTGTAATTATGCATTGCTGTGACTTCAGGGTCATCTTGGACCAAAAAATAGTTTTGTAGCAATAAAGAACTATATTTGTGCTTTGCTTATTTCTTTTCCCCTTAGATCTGTTCTAAGGACCAAGATTCATTTGGGATGGTTACAGAATTGAACCATGGTAGTCAATGAAAGTATCATTCAAAGTTGAATGAAAGATCCATCCTTGAAAGGGAGTAGACCCTTACTATTTTGTTTAACCAGCTTCTCTGTTGTACAGTGAAGAATTTGATGTCAGTCAGTTTACTCCTTAGGTTTCATAGGTCAAGAGATTTTTGTTTTGTCATTCTGGGATTATAGGGGACTTTGGGAAATGCTGGATTAGGTGATTTCTTAAAGGGTGTGCCATTAAACATTAATAATCCGGAGAAGATTTCTTGTAAAAAGGAGTTCTGAGGCCAGATCTCTGCAAACTGTATCCTCTCTTGGAGTTTCATAGTACACTCTGACCTTGTTCACTGAAGCATTGTTATAGTTGAGTTATAAACAATATTCATAGATATGATCAGAATACTATGCAGCAGTTAAAAAGGATTGAACTATGGATGGATGGATAGTTCTCAATATTAGTTTAGAACAACATTATATAATGAGAATATTGCATATGTGTATATAGTTTGTGTTTTAAATATATCTGTATAATATAAATGCTTTTAATAAAGTCTAAAAGGATTCATACCAAGCAAATAGTGATAGTTACTTGGAGAAGTATCTGGGATTGGGGATGATCAAAGCAAAGGGTCCTTTTTGCCTTACCTGTAAGTTTGCAATTTCTTAAAAGGCAATATATTCATGTATCACTTATAAAAAAATAAGACAAATGTCTGTTAAGGTTCAGAAAGTTACTGGGTTTTTTTTTGTGTGTGTGTGTTTTTTAAGACAGAGTCTTACTCTGTTGCCCAGGCTGGAGTGCAGTGGCATCATCACAGGTCATTGCAACTTTAAACTCCTGAGCTCAAGCAATCCTGCCTCAGCCTCTTGAGTAGCTGGGATACAGGTGCATGCCACCCAGCCTGGCTAATTTGTTCTGTTTTTAGTAGAGATGGGGTCTTGCTCTTGCTCAGGCTGGTCTTAAACTCCTGAGCTCAAGTGATCCTCCACCTTGGCCTCCCAGAGTGCTGTGATATAGGCGTGACCCACCTCACCTGGCTTATAAAGTTACTTTCTTTTCCCTTACTGGAGATACCTACCCTGCTAAGCTTCAAGTACATCTGTTTATTAATTTACTATATACAAATTAAACTGAGTTTTGAGCCCTTTATTACAAACTAAGAAGGGAATGTTTTGCTTATTCCATTATACAAAACTATTTTTTCCTACATTATAAGGATTAAATGAAGTGATTTAGACAGTCTAGTCCAGTGGCCCCAAAGTTTTTGGCACTAGGCACTGGTTTTTGTGAAGACAGTTTTTCTAGAGATGGGAGTAGGCAGGGATGGTTTCAGGATGATTCAAGTGTACTACATTTATTATGCACTTTACTTTTTTTTTTTTTTTTTTGAGACAGAGTCTCACTTTATTGCCCAGGCTAGAGTGAGTGCCATGGCGTCAGCCTAGCTACAGCAACCTCAGACTCCTGGGCTCAAGCGATCCTGCTGCCTCAGCCTCCAGTAGCTGGGACTACAGGGCATTGTGCCATCATGCCCGGCTAATTTTTTCTATATGTATTAGTTGGCCAATTAATTTCTTTCTATTTATAGTAGAGACGGGGTCTTGCTCTTGCTTAGGCTGGTTTCGAACTCCTGACCTCGAGCAATCCACCCGCCTCGGCCTCCCAGAGTGCTAGGATTACAGGCGTGAGCCACCGCGCCTGGCCCTGCACTTTACTTTTGTTATTATTATATTGTCACTTGCTACTCACTGATAGGTATTTTTGTTTTGTTTTGTTTTTGAGACAGAGTCTTGCTCTGTTGCCTGGACTAGAGTGACATGGTATCAGCCTAACTCACAGCAATCTCAAACTCCTGGGGTCAAGCCATCCTCCTGCCTCAGCCTCTGGAGTAATTGGGACTACAGGTGCATGCCACAGCCTGGCTATTTTTTTTTTTTTTCTATTATTAGTAGAAACAGAGTCTTGCTCTTGCTCAGGCTGGTCTCGAACTCCTGAGCTGAAGCGATCCTTCCACCTCGGCCTCCCTGAGTGCTAGCATTATAGGTGTGAGCCACTGCAGCCAGCCTTAGTTCTTGAGCAGCTAGAAAGCAATAGCTATGGTTCGATTGGAACATTATGGTTCAAAACCAGGTAAGCCTAAAGAACCAGACTCCCTTTGATTGTTAATGCTCTTTGGGATGTTAATGCTCTTTCTACTTCTGTGGACCTTCTTCATCTTGTTCTCTAGACTTTATTTTGACATCTTCTGAGTCAAACTTGAAGTATTGGTGGCTCTGCCAATCACTGGAGATCAATTTCATGTATCTGCATTTTTTGTAATGTAAATATGTTTTTTCTTTAAGAAAGAGTAATCCTGAAAAAGCTGTAGCCACATAGCAGGTTTTGTGCCAGTACATTCACTTTATTGCTTCAGTTTGCTTTATGTTGTAAGACCCATTATATGAGAATAAAGATTTCATCAGCTTGAAAGTATCTCTTTTTTAAAATGATTTATTTTCAGACATGCATTTATCCCTCTTTTCAAAGTGGTCGTTTTTATATTTCATCTAAGTGAAAACAGAGTAAACTGATCAATCAACCTTGTGCTCAAAATATTTTAATACAGGCTATGAAGGGATTCAAAATTTAAATCACATTACACATATTTATTATGCTTATTATAGATGTTTGTTGGTACCTACTACATGCTTGGTATGTCTGGAAATTTGGAGTATTAAAATGTGTTTCTACCGTTGGTGAACTTCCTGCTTCCTAAAATATTGTTAAAAGCAAGCAATCCATATGCATACAAATTACTGGTCATTTAAGATGATTCTTCCAGCAGAATGCCAAGTGAAAATTAGTATAGTATAAACTGAAAATGCTAATAAGTAGGGCGAATTTCAGGAATGTTTTGAGCAGGACAGCTGGTGAGGATGGGAGAGTTGCAGGCTGTGATTACCCAGTAGAAAGGTGTGTGGTACTCCCTTCTGCCTGGTCAGTGAGTGTCTTGCACGTGTCAGTCACTTGGTATGTGTTGTTCATGGAATGGGGATTGTGCGTTTCTTGCAGGAGAGATGACATGGATATTAAGCCTTATAGCAGTATTATTTTGAGGTGGAGTTTAGGGGTTGAGCAAAGGTACTAGGGTAAAAGAAAGAAAAGGGAAGATAAAAAGGAGAACTTGAGCACTACAAACCAAAGTTTGTTTGTTTGTTTGTTTGTTTGTTTGTTTGAAGCACAGATGACTCTTATACAGGCATTATGGTTGTGATAGTTTTTAATTTCCTGGTGCTCAATTGTTGGAAGAGTGTATGTGGCAGTTTTTAAAAACATGGGCAGGTTTTCTTTAATTGAACAGTTGCCCCCCACCATGTCTCTATGGTATAAACAACATTGAATTATTTTACCACCATTTAATATGTAGAATTGATCATGAATGTGGCCAAAATCAGTGAATTTGATGTCTATTTATGGTTAAAGCGTAAAATTATTCTCTAGTAGGAACTTTATCAGCATTCTTCGTGGTTTGGTAAAGACCACTGAAATCAGCCCAATTTTTCTCAATATAAAATCACAAAAATGTTTCAGATGCCCATGTTTCCTGAGAACAAGAATGAGAGCTGTCCATCAATTTTCTGTATTGGCTTTCATACCATGGAATTCCTTGGAAACTTGTTTTATGAGTTCTAAATCATGTATATTCCTGTCTTTTCGGATTTCATTCTGATCAAGCAGGCAGTTCAGGATACAGAATCCAAGGATGAATGTTCACCGCAGCAGTGAGGGCGACAGGTTATTGCGACAGGAGGCCAGCTGCCTAGTGGATGATACTTCAGCTGCAGCCCAAGAGAAAGAAACAAATGGCTTAGCTTCATCTGGTCTTCATAGTCTTACTTATCCACTAGGTCCCAGGAATGAAGGTACAGTGATTGCCTCTTGACTTAATTTAGGGGTCTTTCTAACACTTCAGTATCTGTTCTTCCCAGAAGGCATGAATGTTCTTAATATAAACAAATCATGCAAGGCCAAGCACAGTGGATCATACATGTAATCACAGCACTTGGGGAGGCAAAAGTGGGAGGATCGCTTGAGCCCAGCAGTTCAAGGCTAAAGTGAGCTGTGACTGTACCACTGCACTCTAGCTTGGACAACAGAGTGAGACCCTGTCTCTTAAAAAATAAATAAATAATCCAGTTGGCTTAGCCTGCATATCACAGTTATACAAAGCTGACCTTCACAGAAAATCTCCACTCATTTAATTGGTCTAGCATATCCAGCTTGGTGGTAATGGTGTAAGAAAAACAGCCACAGGTTTGGAGGCAGAAGACATATTCAAAATCTGGCTCAGCTACTTATTAGCTGATAAGATCTTAATCTTTCTGAGCCCTGCTTTCTTAATCTAGAAAACAAGGATATTAATATTCTTTCTACCTTGCAAGGCTGGTGGATTAATGAGTTAATTGATGTGAAAGCTCCTGATAAACTATTAGGTTCTTTTTAACTTTTAATAAAAACAACAGCAACAATAATAGCAACTACCATTTATTGAGCATGCACTGTGGTAGGAACTTTACATACACTTTTGAGATCAGGGTGGCAAACTATGGCCAAATCTGGCCACCTGTTTTTGTAAATAAAATTTTATTGAGACACAGCCATCATGTCTATTTGTTACATATTGTCTATGGCTGCTTTCTTGCTACATAGTGGCAGAGACTGTGACACACAAAGCCTAAAATACTTACTTTCTGGCTCTTTGTGGAAAGTTTGCTGATCCATACTCTAGATTAGTCCTTACAACCACTATCCTTGTTTTATAGATGAGGAAACTGAGGTTTAGAAAGCTTAGATAACTTGCCCATGTTCACATTGCTAGGAGGTAGTAGGCCAGCATTTGAATCTGTGTCTTTCTGACGAGGCTGTGTTATATATTTAATATCTATCAACTGACAGAAAAGTATGTGACTGCCAGCCTAGAGTATACCATTAGGGAGAACTTGTTCAATGAGTCTCTTTTCCTACTCACCCATTAAGCAGGGTAGAACCTGAAGGGCTTCTTTCTTGGGTTTGGGAATCAACCCAGTTTAATTGCTTCATTGTTGGGGAAAATCAAGCATTCTAAAGTACTGCTGAATTAGTAATTCCAGTTACTAATTCCTGTTTCATTTTTTTTTTTTTTTTTTTGACAGAGTCCTCTCTACTTATTATAGAAGATTAATTGCCCAACTCAATTAGTTATATAGAAAAAAATTAGCCGGCTATGGTGGTGGCATGCCTGTAGTCCCAGGCACTCAGGAGGCTGAGGCAGGAGCGGATTGCTTTGGAGGCCAGGGTTTGATGCTGTTGAGCTAGGCTGACGACTACGGCACTTCTCTAGTCCTGGGCACAAAGGAAGACTGTCTCAAAGAAAAGACTTAACAAAATGGGCCTTCATGGAGGCTGTGAGAATAAATACATAAAACTTATATATTGTGCGATAGCTTTTTGGTGTAAGAATACTTTTGGCTTAATTTATGAAGTGAAGCTTTGGAGCTGGCCATGGCTGTGATGTTAAGTTTTTGTGCTCCACAGCCTTACAGCCTTGGAGGTTCCAGTATAATATATTTTTTATCTCCTGGTTCTTTCTGCAGTAGTCTTTTCTGTTATGGTTTAGGGAGGTGCCAGGGGGGTGTGGCTGAATCCCTTGTTCTCATTAAATATGCTTGACTGTGACTTTCAGGTGTCATCGTTGGACCAAGAAAATAGTTTTGTAGCAATAAAGAATATATTTGTGCTTTGTATTTCTTTTTCCCCCCTTAGCATCTGTTCTAAGGACCAGATTCATTGTGGGATGGTTCAGATTGAACCATGGTAGTCAATGAAAGTATCATTCAAAGTTGAATGAAAGATCCATCCTTGAAAGGGAGTAGACCCTTATATTTTGTTTAACCAGCTTCTCTGTTGTACAGTGAAGAATTTGATGTCAGTCAGTTACTCCTTAGGTTTCTAGGTCAAGAGATTTTGTTTTGTCATTCTGGGATTATAGGGACTTTGGGAAATGCTGGATAGGTGATTTCTTAAAGGGTGTGCCATTAAACATTAATAATCCGGAGAAGATTTTCTTGTAAAAAGGAGTTCTGAGGCCAGATCTCTGCAAACTGTATCCTCTCTTGGAGTTTCATAGTACACTCTGACCCTTGTTCACTGAAGCATTGTATAGTTGAGTTATAAAACAATATTCATAGATATGATCAGAATACTATGCAGCCAGTTAAAAAGGATTGAACTATGGATGGATGGATAGTTCTCAATATTAGTTTAGAACAACATTATATAATGAGAATATTGCATACTGGTATATAGTTTGTGTTTAAATATATCTGTATAATATAAATGCCTTTTAATAAAGTCTAAAAGGATTCATACCAAGCAAATAGTGATAGTGTACTTGGAGAAGTATCTGGATTGGGATGATCAAAGCAAAGGGTCCTTTTTGCCCGTTACCTGTAAGTTTGCATTTCTTAAAAGGCAATATATTCATGTATCACTTATAAAAAAATAAGACAAATGTCTGTTAAGGTTCAGAAAGTTACTGGGTTTTTTTTGTGTGTGTGTGTTTTTTAAGACAGAGTCTTACTCTGTTGCCCAGCCTGGAGTGCAGTGCATCATCACAGGTCATTGCAACTTTAAACTCCTGAGCTCAAGCAATCCTGCCTCAGCCTCTTGAGTAGCTGGGATACAGGTGCATGCCACCAGCCTGGCTAATTTTTCTGTTTTTAGTAGAGATGGGGTCTTGCTCTTTGCTCAGGCTGGTCTTAACTCCTGAGCCAAGTGATCCTCCCACCTTGGCCTCCAGAGTGCTGTGATATAGGCGTGACCCACCTCACCTGGCTTATAAAGTTACTTTCTTTCCTTACTGGAGATACTACCCTGCTAAGCTTCAAGTACATCTGTTATTAATTTACTATATACAAATTAAACTGAGTTTTGAGCCCTATTATTACAACTAAGAAGGGAATGTTTTGCTTATTCCATTATTACAAAACTATTTTCCTACATTATAAGGATTAAATGAAGTGATTTAGACAGTCTAGTCCAGTGGTCCCCAAAGTTTTTGGCCACTAGGCACTGGTTTTGTGGAAGACAGTTTTTCTAGAGATGGGAGTAGGCAGGGATGGTTTCAGGATGATTCAAGTGTACTACATTTATTATGCACTTTACTTTTTTTTTTTTTTTTTTTGAGACAGAGTCTCACTTTATTGCCCAGGCTAGAGTGAGTGCCATGGCGTCAGCCTAGCTCACAGCAACCTCAGACTCCTGGGCTCAAGCGATCCTGCTGCCTCAGCCTCCAAGTAGCTGGGACTAAGGCATGTGCCATCATGCCCGGCTAATTTTTCTATATGTATTAGTTGGCCAATTAATTTCTTTCTATTTATAGTAGAGACGGGGTCTTGCTCTTGCTTAGGCTGGTTTCGAACTCCTGACCTCGAGCAATCACCGCTCGGCCTCCAGAGTGCTAGGATTACAGCGTGAGCCACCGCGCCTGGCCCTGCACTTTACTTTTGTTATTATTATATTGTCACTTGCTACTCACTGATAGGTATTTTTGTTTTTGTTTTGTTTTTGAGACAGAGTCTTGCTCTGTTGCCTGGACTAGAGTGACATGGTATCAGCCTAACTCACAGCAATCTCAAACTCCTGGGGTCAAGCCATCCTCCTGCCTCAGCCTCTGGAGTAATTGGGACTACAGGTGCATGCCACAGCCTGGCTATTTTTTTTTTTTTTATTATTAGTAGAAACAGAGTCTTGCTCTTGCTCAGGCTGGTCTCGAACTCCTGAGCTGAAGCGATCCTTCCACTCGCCTCCCTGAGTGCTAGCATTATAGGTGTGAGCCACTGCAGCCAGCCCTTAGTTCTTGAGCAGCTAGAAAGCAATAGCTATGGTTCGATTGAACATTATGGTTCAAAACCAGGTAAGCCTAAAGAACCAGATCCCTTTGATTGTTAATGCTCTTTGGGATGTTAATGCTCTTTCTACTTCTGTGACTTCTTCATCTTGTTCTCTAGACTTATTTTGACATCTTCTGAGTCAAACTTGAAGTATTGGTGGCTCTGCCAATCACTGGAGATCAATTTCATGTATCTGCATTTTTTGTAATGTAAATATGTTTTTCTTTAAGAAAGAGTAATCCTGAAAAAGCTGTAGCCACATAGCAGGTTTTGTGCCAGTACATTCACTTTATTGCTTCAGTTTGCTTTATGTTGTAAGACCCATTATATGAAATAAAGATTTCATCAGCTTGAAGTATCTCTTTTTAAATGATTTATTTTCAGACATGCATTTATCCCTTTTCAAAGTGGTCGTTTTATATTTCATCTAAGTGAAAACAGAGTAAACTGATCAATCAACCTTGTGCTCAAAATATTTTAATACAGGCTATGAAGGGATTCAAAATTAAATCACATTACACATTATTATTTATGCTTATATAGATGTTTGTTGGTACCTACTACATGAAAAAAAACACACAAAAAAACAAAAAAAAATGAAACAAAAAATTAGCCGGGCGTGGTGGCTCGCACCTGTAGTCCCAGCTACTTGGGAGGCTGAGGCAGGAGAATCACTTGAGCCCAGGAGTTTGAGGTTGCTGTGAGCTAGGCTGATGCCATGGCACTCACCCTAGCCTGGGCAACAAAGTGAGACTCTGCTTAAAAAAAAAATAGATTAATACTGGAGTGTTTTTACTTAACATTTTTAGAAATAATCTGGAAAAAGGAAAATCAGAAAGCGTTAATAGTCAGAAGACAGAATTCTTTCTGAGATTGGAACATTGGGGTCACATATGCAAAGGGAATGATTAGCACCATGATAAAAAAGCTTCAGTGGATTTGGTTTTAAGGAAAATATACCCTTAAAATAATATACCCTTCAAATACACATT